CAACCTCCCACCTATACGCAAGACTCATCACCATCTCAAATAAGGTCAATGATCAGTGTATCATCTGCAAACTTCTGAACTTTAACACAGGGCTCCCTTGAGGTGCAGTCATTGGTACACAGAAAGAAGAGCAATGAAAAATACAAGTAAAATACAAAAAAAGCAAAGAAAAAAGAAAAAAAAGAAAAAGAAAAAAAAGATAAAAGGAAAAATGTATTAATAATTAAGAGCGCCCAACTTTGTCTAAAGTAACATTGATCCAATCAGGGCTCCTCAGCTCTCCTTCTCCATCTCCTTTGGGAAGACTAAAAGACACCTGGCACAGAACTGACCTTGTTATCCTGGATTGTCTGCCTCTGGGCTCAGAGATAAGGCAAACGATGGAGAATGGAATGACTGGGTCAGTTGAATCTTGAGAACAGAAGATTGAGAATGGAAATCGGGGCTTTATCAAAAAAGCTAGTTTGGGGGGCAAAACCTCTTGTCAAAATTATTTGGTGCAGTTTATTTAAAATGCCAATCGGGCAGATAAGGAGAGAATTGAGAAAATTAATTCCTGCGATCAGAAAAATAAAGGCAATAAACCCATATATATATAAAAAATCTGGCTGCATCAGATACCTTCTGGGTTTGTTTCTGTGATGTAATAGCTTCTCTCATGAACAATTTTATCAGTCCGAACTTCTTAACAGCATTTGCAAAAGCAGCAGGGAAAACAGGCACAATATCTCTAAAGATAGGCAAGGGTGGAGAAAAGAAGTGAAAAATCTCTCTAACTATTGATTAGGCAGTATTATTTAAGCAGGGGGCACGTTCTAAGCCTCGGGGGGGGGGGGAAAGGCTTAAAATGGCATCCTGCTTTCTCAAAGAATCCAAACTAACAAAACTAAAACAAAATCAATAGCAAACAAATAAAATACTCGCAATAGCAAACAAGATAGCCCCAGATAAAAGGAGGCTGATTTGATGTAGAAATAAAAAAGAAGGGGGGGGAAAGATCTCTTAAATGCATGGCTAGCAATTAACTTCTGTTTTAAACTTCCCAGGGAAATCCGTTCTTAAGACAAGGAAAGTTCCTTTCTGGTCTGGAGAGGGGAGGCATTTTCTAGAGGCCAGCTTCTAGAGGGAAGTTGTTCTACTGGTTAATTGTTCTAACTGTCAGAAAATTTTTCCTTAGTTCTAGGTTGCTTCTCTCTTTGGTTAGTTTCCATCCGTTGCTTCTTGTCCTGCCTTCAGGCGCTTTGGAGAATAGCTTGACTCCCTCTTCTTTGTGGAACACTGCTATCATGTCCCCCCTCGTCCTTTGCCTTTCCTCGTTGTTCTCTAATTCCCCTTCTTTTCCTGATGGTAACTGGACCTTTCTGCTTCATTTCTCCACCCTCTCTTTGCCTTTCTGAGCTTTTTCCTGAATCTTTCTTTTATTTCTTTGGTAGCTGGAACAGTAAAGGGTACATTGGGCCAAAACGCAGAGTTGTGGTTGATTGGTGGGGAAGTGCTGGCTGCATGAGTGCCTGAGGCAATCTACGTTATGTTTGGCTTGTTGTGTGTGTGCAGAGAGGGAGTTTCCCCTTTTCCCGCCTTTTTCTTCTGTGTGTTCTGTATGCTATCTGATTTACCTCGTGATGTTCTTGTGTTCCTGACTATCTTGTCTGCTGTAAATATAAATGTAAAATATATTTATTTATATAAAACTACAAGTTCGTGTCAGTTTCTCTGACTTATAAGGACAGCAATTCCATGACAAGACCCCACAGCAACATACATAATACTCCTTCCTCCAATTTTTCTCTACAACAATCCCATGTGTTAGGATAATGTGAGAGTGAGAGGGGGAGAGAGAGGGAGAGGGCAATTGGGCCAAAGTAATCCAGTGAGCTTCTGTAACTATGGATGGACTTCAGCTTGGATATCTCCAGTTCCAACCCAGTACCTTATCCACTACATCACACTGTCTCAATCCCTCCCTATCCCATTATCAATACTTCCCCTCAATATTTTGAGGAAAAGAATATCTGGTAGCAGTTTTTTAGATAAATTTTAGTCTGAAGTTATCAGCTTTCTTGAACTTCAGAAGCATGGAGCGACTAATCTGATATAGGATACAAACTGGGATAAGGGAGAGTATTTGGAAGGACAGATCCTGAAGCAGACTCAAATATTTTGTCCACTAAATGAGAAGAGAGGGCTCACTGGAAAAGAACCTGAGGTCGGGAAAGATTGAAGGCAAAAGAAGAAAGGGACTACAGAGGATGAGATGGTTAGATAGTGTCATTAATGCAATGAACATGAATTTGGGTAAACTCTGGGAGACAGTGAAGAATATGGAAGCTTGGTGTGCTATGGTCCTTTGGGTTGGTCACAACTTAGCAACCGAACAATGACAAAGAGGTGGGGAGACAGATGATTATGCAAACATAGGTTATATGTGAGACTTATAGTGACTGTATTAAATTATAATTGTATCAATTGTTTGTTAAGACCTTCTGAGGTAGCCCGAAATCTTTTCAAGTATGTGAGTTCAACAAAGGAGCTTTTTCAAAAAGCAACTGGGCTTTTTTTTTTTCTTTTTTCCCTTTCAATACATTTCACTTCTCATCCAAGAAGCTTCTTTAATTCTGAGTTCTTGGATGAGAAATGTTTGCAAAAAAACAAAACAAAACAAGTCCAGTTGCCTTTTGAAAAAGCACCTTTGGGACAACCATGATTGAGAATCTCCATAGGCATGTGAGTTTGACAATTTATTGTTCAACTGTCTTGTTGAAATTTCTTTGTTCAGCAGCTACTTTGAAATCTGAAAAGGAGTGTCCTGGGATGTTAAAATGCTCTGCTTCTGTATTACTTTATTGATTGGGATTCTGATGTCAAATGTGTCCCTTAATTGTTTTGCACAAAGTCTGGCCTGTTTGTCTTGTACAGAATCCATAGGGGCATGGCTGGGGGATGATGGCATAGATCCCCTTGGAAGAAGAGCATATGAAGATGTCTCTAATCTTGTATGTGAAGTTGCTGGGGCTAGATGACAATGCTGTTGATGTAAATATTTTTAGGGTGGGGAGGGGGAGAATAGAGATCTAGATCTGGTTCCCATTTTAACATCAGTTTATGGTTGCTTCTGGATGCTTGTGAGAATAAACTTTAAATTGGGTGCTTTATATGCAAGTATGGGACTGCCACCTAATACCTGAGAAAGCACAGGGTCATTGTCTACAGGGGTTGTAGCTTATTAATATGCGTTTAAATGACTTGAGTTAGAGCTATAGGTGATAACTAGTAGTGTTCTCTTGATCTGTTTTTATGATCTTTTAATAGATCTTCTTTGGGAAGCAATCTGGCTCTCTTGATTTATCTGTTGATTTTGCTGTGTGGGTAGTTCAGTTTTCTGAATGCCTGGTTTAATTCCATCAATTTAGCACCACTGTCAAGTGAATCAGATCAAATGCAGTTGTAGTGTAGAACCTGTTTATAGATGAATATTTGGTAATGTGTTCTGGGTGGAAGTTGGAAACATTTTGGTATGCATGGGAACTGTAGGTTTTTTATGCAGTGTGGTATGTAGGTGTCTGTTATGCATTTTTACTCCATCAAGGAAGTGGACTTGTTCTGCAAATACAGTGAGGTTAAAGTTGATGGTCAGATGGGAGTTGAAGTCTTAGTGAATAAAGTGTGTTAAGAGATACTTTCCCACAGGTCCAGATAATTCATTGTCATCAGTGAATCTCAAGTAAAGGAAGGGATTTCAGGAGGTACCATAAGCATTGTTCGAGGTTAGCCACAAAAATGTTGGCATGTTGTTGAGCCATGTGAATATTCTAGGCCAGGGGTCTGCAACCTTGGCAACTTTAAGACTTGTGGACTTCAGTTCCCAGCTATGCTGGCTGAGGAATTCTGGGAGCTGAAGTCCACAAGTCTTAAAGTTATCAAGGTTGCAGACCCCTGTTCTAGGCTTTGCTGCTGATCTGCAAGTATATGTTGTTGCCAAAATTAAGTAGTCGTGGGTGAAGACAGGTGATAGAACTGGATGGTAAAATGGTGCTCTTAATCTGTCTCACGTGTTTTCCTGCATTTGCATACCACCCCTACTTCCCCTCTTTTTTTTTGTATTTTGGCTCATCCCAGTTTAACTTTGCATCAGAAAGGCTAACATTTAGCCTCTCCATATATCTGATGAAATGAACAGTAGTTTATGAAAGCTTGTCTTTTAATGACATGTATGAGTGAGAAGCTAGTTTGGTATAGAGCTTAAGGCACAAGGCTAGAAATGAGAAGTTTCTAGTCCCTCCTCAGGCACAAAGCCACCTAGATGACCTTGGGCCAGTTCCTCTCTTTCAGCCCTAGTAAGGAAGCAATGGCAAACACATTCTGAAATCTTGTCAATAAAACGTCAGGGACCTATCCAGGCAGTCGCCAGGAATCAACACTGACTCGTGCATCAAACCAAACCAAACCTCAGAACAAAAACCAAAACCACCAGATTCCTCTTGATTTTTGCTGTCATAGCTCTCTTTCTACAATGTTTGCTTTGGGAAGTATCAGTTTCTCTTACGTCTCTTTCTATTTGTACCTTCTCCAGTTTCCCGATTTCTCTTTCTATTACATTCCGTAAGAATGCCACATTTCCCAGGCCCCGCGATCCTTCCTAAGTGGCAAAGAGACTAGGTATGCAGCGTTTGGGGAAGCCCCGCTCCCTCTGTTGAGCGGAGGGCTCGAGTTCTCCCCAAGATCACATCCTTCTACCGAGGCATCACTCCGCGTCTCACTTTAGCCCCCCCCCCCAAGCAACGATGGTCGGAATCCCTCCATTCTTTCCTTCCATTTTAAGTACTCTGCCTTTACTCGCCCGGTTTTTTCTCGAGCGCTTCTGCCCCATTCGGCATAGCGCGGGCCCTCGGGAAGGACGGAGGGGCGGTCCTTCTCAGGCAAGGGGCGGAGCCTGTCTGCCCCCGCCCCCGCTTGTGCGTGACGTGAAGGAAACGAGGCTGGCGCCAGCCGCCTTTCCTGCGTGTGTAGGCTTTGCGTGTGTGTACATGCAAGCGAGGGAGCGAGAGGCAAAGCAAGCGCGCGCGTGCGGAGGAGTCTCCCGCGAGGCTCGCCGAAGCCCAGCGCAGCAGGCGGGTGCCGGAGTCCGGCCGCGGGGCATGGAGAGCCTGCTGGAGAATCCGGTGCGCGCCGTGCTCTACCTGAAAGAGCTCACCGCCATCGTCCAGAACCAGCAGAGCCTCATCCACACCCAGCGCCAGCGCATCGACGAGCTGGAGAAGCGCCTGGACGAGCTCAGCACCGAGAACCGCAGCCTCCGCGAGCAGTACGCGCTCCCGGCGGAAACCCCGCCGCCGCTGCAGCCGAGGGTTCCCCCTGCTGCCTCCTTGCCTTGCCGAGCTCCGCCTCAGGGCCAGCAGCAGCCGCCGCTGGCGGCGGCGGCTCAGCAGGAGGAGTTTCAGCACCACCAACAGCTCCCGGCGCTCCAGCCGCCGCCGCCGCCGCGGCAGCCGCCTCCACCACCACCTCCCAGCAGTAGCAAGCAGGCTCAGGCCGGCCCCAGCGGTACCCGGACGCCGGTCTCACACCAGCACCCTTCCCTTCAGCCCCACCAGCATCACCACGAGGATAGCCGGGAAAAGAGCTGTTGCCCTGCTCTCCTTCAGCACAAAAGCCCCCCAGCCCTCGGCAAAGGCGTCTTAGTCAGAAGGCTAGAGTAAGTCGATGGGGGCGGGGGGTGGGGGGGAGACCGGGAGGAGGAGGCTGGGATGATCAGACATTCCCCCCCCCAATAAGTAAATAAGTAAAATGGACCCGAAGTATCCTTCTTTTTGGGAGCAAAGATTGGTCCTTCCCCCTCCCATCCTGTGTAACTGCCCGCTGCAATCAAATCGAGTGGGCGGGTGGGGAATCCCTTCCCAGGTGAATTTTACAGTTTCCATAGGATCACGGAGGGGCAAAGACTGTCCAGCCACAAGGGTATCATCTTGCTGATTCCAAACTGGCTTTCTCATTACTGCCCGGTGGTTGGAAGGTACAGTTTTATAAAATTTGCCACCCACTCACTCGCGGAATCTTCTTTTGAAAGCATGCGGTGGTGATGGTGGTGATGATGGGGTTTTCACCATTCCTGCTATTTGTAGATTGTATGTTTGTGGTGGAAATCCAGAAGCAAAGACAGCTCTGAATGAAGGAAAGAACTAACTGGACTGTGTGCCTTGTTTTGTATGCCTCTCTGTGTGTAATGTAAAATCTCTTATTACACAACTAGGGTTTCCCTTCCATTAAGGTGGTATGGACATATTACAGATACTTAGTGCTATTTGGATGAACCTTATTTCATATTTTTGTGAAGATGAAGGTTTGTTTTGTCTGCAGGGTTTATGCTATGCAATGATGAGTTCCAGCTGCTAAAGAATCAAACAACCCTTTTAAAGGTTTTCCTTCAACAGGGAAAGTGTGGTTTTCTGTAATGTGATCTGTAGAAGCATCACTTTATTGCAAAGGAATGCTCTAAAATAGTAATAGATATTTTTCAGGATAGACACAAACTGCATTTAAATTAGCCAACCACTTAGTCAATGGTTCAAGCTAATGTTATCTACCCGTCTCTTCAAGATGTTTTCAGGAAGTGATATTACAATATTTTGTGTGTGTTATGTGCTTGCCCAGGAAATTAAAATAACTACACCGACAGAGAGAGATAAAAAATAAAGCTTAGCTGTGGGTACTTCATAGTGTAAAAGTGAAGTTTAAAATTTGGAATCTAGCCTTCAGTTTTGATTTTTAATAGTACAGATGAAAGCTAAAGCTACCATTATCACTAATGATAAGAATTTGTCACTTTTTGTTTAAAAAGCAGATGGTCTCTTGAAAGAAGGGCTATACTTTTAGTTGGCTGCCACAGAATTAGGCATTGTGCAATTTGGAGAGGCAGCCCCCTTTCTCTCGAACCAGACAATATAACACATGGTGGGTGGCTTTCTTTTCCTGAACGTAAAATGTATGTTTTCCTAGCAGCATATAATCAGGAATTTTTAAAGTTTTGCATATTGAACACATAGTAATAAATGCTTTTCGGGTAACAATTATTGGTATATTGGGCCCCTTTATCTTTCCAAAAATGCTGTAGAAGCTCTTCTGTATTCAGTTGTTGTACATTCAAAGTCTGCAAATGGCATTCATGGTACTGTATCAGTGTAAAACCTAAACAGGAAATGTCTGTTAAAGTCTGTTAAAACAACAAAAACAAATCTTAGTTTATTTATAATAGGAAAAAAAGTGTTACAAAGATAGTATTGCCAAGATTTTTCTCCCCATCTCATTCTTGTTTCTCACATATGTTGTAAAATTGAGCATGCATATGCTTTAAATGCATTAAACTGAAGATCTGTTTCCTGTTACCAACATTCAGATTCATTAATTTTTTTCAAACACTGAAGAGGGAAAAAATATTTGGGGTAGTTCTCATCCAAATGTATACTCAAGGGATAGGTTAAGGCTATGGCATTTGTTGTCTTAGGGGACAACATAAAGCTGTATGTCCTCAGCAAGGTTAAATTAACCTCTTGTTTTATTCTGAAGGTTTGCCAAAGCAATTTTTAAGCTAAAAATGCAGTACTGTATACAACGTGCCTAGCAGGTCAGCTCTCCATAATATGACATGTCTATGGATATGTTGGAACAGCAACATAGTATTTTGTATAGTAATTTTGGGGAAAAAATAAGTATGTTTGAAAGCCAAAGGACTCTATCAACTTAACATCTTTAAAATATGTCATATTGGAACCTCCAAATGCTGTTTTGGTGACTTACAATTTTTTTTATACAACTGACCCCAAACTCTGTTTGAGTGGCGTGATGATAATCAAGAGAGAAATCTACCATTTAAAAATGGCAATCATGTGAGCTGTCATTTTGGATTAGAAGAGGTTTCAAGTGCCTTTCCTTTCAAAAGGCTAAGTGTGAATTGTGTGGTTTTGCAAATGCAAACCAAAGAGCAGAAGCAGGAGATATTAAATTTTTGCAATGTATACGCATGAATTCTCAACTCAAAATCACCCAGAATATGAGTGCAATATGAGACCAGTTGATGCACAGAGCTCAGAAGATTCAGTTTTGCACCTTGGAAGAGCTGGATTAAATCTGCTGTGGGTAACCTCTAGTGTCTTGTTTCATCTGGTAAAGATCAGGGGAATTTATACTTTTTGGAAAAGCTGTATGAAGATTAAGCATTTTTCCCCCAGACCTGGAAGCTTTATAGGAAGGCATTCATTAACTTTGTATGCAATTAACCAAAGAATCCTGTAGCAGAATAGTGCTTTTATGTGATTGTACAGGAGCTTGTATCTTAGGCTGTATTCTCTAAAACATTTGACCTCTATTTTGAATAGATCAGACGAGATCTCCACTAATTTCAAATGGGGTTGTTTCCTATCAAACGGTTCAGAATGAGAGATTACAAAGTCATTTTATTGGTTGCATTGTGTGTGCACAGTGGCAATACTGAGTTTGATATGAGACCAGTTGATGCACAGAGCTCAGAAGATTCAGTTTTGCACCTTGGAAGAGCTGGATTAAATCTGCTGTGGGTAACCTCTAGTGTCTTGTTTCATCTGGTAAAGATCAGGGGAATTTATAGGGTGACCCGGTGTTATTTTTGACATCCTACATCCTATCCACTTCATATTTTACCAGACTTTTTAGAAACTGAGCAGAGAAAGTAGTTTCAAACTGGAGTTATTTAAAAAAAAAATTCTTGAAACTAGTACTTTGTCATACAAAAGGAGCAGAGTATATAGTAGCCGAATATACTGAAAGAAATTATCAGCACAAACAGGCAGTAGTTTCTCTGTGCCTGTTCTACGATATAACAAATCCATGCTTAAATTAGAGAGCAATCCTCCTTTGCTACTGCATGCTTTCTAAAGATGGTAAAAGATGGCCTTTGATATTGTTTTCCAAGGAGAGAATTAACTTGACTGATCTAAAAACTGTGGCTCTTTTCCTCGATATGCTTAACAGTGTCAAGTCACTATCCCAGATAAATCTCTAGCAGTAGTACTAGCAACACACTTACTGGGTCAAAAATCACATTCTGAGAAATAGTCCATTCAGTTTCTCCAGGAAGTGCCTAACATCTGAAGAGCATCTGTAACAAGGGAAAACTGTCAAGGCTTCATTACATCGCTATCTTCTTTCACATTGGCTAGATAAACACATAACTATAATACAAGGCAAGAGAAACATTTTTTAAAAAGCACATGGTATGCTTTTAAAAAACAGAAGAATAAGCGGGTCATAGTTTTTAATGACTAGATAAGCAAGCCTCTTGTATTCATGAAAAATAAATAGATGATAGATAGACAGACAGACAGACAGACAGACAGACAGACAGGGAAATCTTTGCTAATGAGGAGACATGGGGATTTTCAATTATTTCCTTACTTTAATTTTTCAAACCACAAAAACCTGTCTATCATCTATCTATCTATCTATCTATCTATCTATCTATCTATCTATCTATCTATCTATCTACATCTGATAGGTGATAAATAGATTTTTGTGGTTTGATGAAGTAATTAAAGTAAGGAAATAATTGAAAATCCCCACCCATGTATCCTCATTAGCGAAGATTCCCCAGTCTTTGGAGTATAGTGAGTACATCTGAATGTTGAGTATTTGCCAAACAATTTGGAGAACATCAAAGAGCATTTTGGCAAGCATATTGTTGCCTTCAGGACTTCATTAGGATTTTCTGAAAAGGCCCCTCCTTGTGGTGTAGGTTCCTACTTATGAGTAGACCCCTTCTGAGTTGCTGTTCCTCAACTGCAGTCGCTTGCACTCTCATCTTGGGAAAATATGAGCAAAACAGATAACTGATCCTGAATTTTCATACCTCCTGAGCTCTTAATTGGCTGAGAGAAACCAAATCCATGGTTGGTGACTACGCTCCTTTAAAAAATGCTTTTTCCAGGAGAAACACATCAATCCCAGGGGATTATCACTTAGCTAGTTTATTTTGGAGATGCCAAGATTGAATATGAGCTGTGGATAAGAGAAATAAGTATGAAGTGGTATATACAGTATTTATATTTCACACTAAACATCTGTTTTAACTCTAAATTAGACAACACGTGACCCTCTGGGTCATTATTTCAGAGATATTTCCTTATCTAAACAGAGAAACAGCATGACCACAGGCAGCCCCCCCCCCCAAAAAAAACATGGGAACAATTTCCCCTTTCCTGCCAGTTTCCTGATTAACTTTCCTTGCAGGAAGCTGGCAGGGAGCATTGGAAATGCTGATCACATGGAGCGACAGTGCAGCAGCACTAAAGTGGCAGCAACTTTGCCAAATTTCAGTCCCATGGAGACATGGATCCTGGACTTTGGATGCATTCTTTAAGTTATCCTCTTTGAGGTATGTCGATTCAAAAATTGTTGCTCTATAGTGCACAGTTTCATCCAATTGAAGGTTACAAACAATAAAACAGATGCAGGAGTTTTATTAATATATAGATTCATATTCCTACATTGAAGGTACCCCATAACATGTGCAATTTCATTGGTAAACCTTTATACCATATTATACTTATTTCTCCCAGTGGTTGCTCCATTATAGGCATGCAATTTAAATGATCTTTCCCAAGTGACAATGATGTTCATTCAGAGATATTGTACCTGTGAAACATCATCTACAGTGATGTTGTGTTA